GGCCCATTACGAACTAATAGATGGTCTATTATTCTACACAAAAACTACGAATTCCAACAACGAATTTCGACCTGTTATCCCAGCTAGTCTTAGATTAAATATCCTGCATGAGCTCCATGACAGCCCTTTAGCTTCTCATGCTGGTATTCGAAAAACTATCCAACGCGTACGCGAGGCAGTCTACTTTCCTGAACTGCAAAAGTTAACAAGGGCGTATGTCCAGTCCTGCCCAACATGTCAAGCCGTTAATTATATTAATTTCCTCCCGGCCGGGTTTCTAAATAGTATTAAATCCGAATTTCCAAATGAAATAATTGGCATCGATTTATTGGGCCCTTTCCCAAAAAGTCAGTTAAATAAAAGTCGCTATCTCCTTGTTATGGTTGATCATTTTAGTAAATGGACCGAAATTGTTCCCTTAAAACGAGCCTCCGCGAAATTGGATACCGATTCTATTTTAAATAAATATATTTTAAAATACGGGGCGCCCCTAAAAGTTATATCGGATAACGGTCCTCAATTTGTAAGTAATATATTTGAAGACATGTGCCAAAAACTGGGCATACGTCATTTAAAAATGGTCCCGTATCGGCCGCAATCAAATATAGCGGAACGGGTCAACAGAAATATAGTGAAAATTATCCGTAGTTATGTTAAAAATTTTCATAAAAGCTGGGATAACTATGTCAATGAATTTGCTTTCGCCCTTAGGACCGCAAAACATGATACAACGGGCTAAAACTCCTGCTGAGTTATTTCAAGGCAGAAAGATTATAACACCGTTAGATAAACTATTTTATGTGCAACAAAGAGCCCCAGAATTTAAAATGGGTGATATAGAAAAACTAATAAAAGAAGCAAAAAAGAATACGGAAGTAGCACAAAGAAAACAGAAATTATATTATGATTTGAAACGACGGGGAGTAACTTATAAAGTTAGGGGATGAAGTTTTAAAAATTAAGCATTCACTTTCTTCAGCACCAGAAGATAAAACTGCCAAATTTTTTCCACGATTTGAAGGACCATATGTTATAGAAAAAATAACTCACGCTGTTGTAGTGTTAAAAGCCAGAAATGGTGAAACCTGTTCCGCAAACAATGATCAAATCAAGCCCTATTTCGATCGTAATAAAATGCAAATCTTTTCAGATCTTTTGCAGGATCCGGCACGGCAGACACCGCAGGTACAAGTTCCAGAGGTGAAAAAACGACAAGTACAAGGGCAAGCCAACGAGAGACAGAAGCAAGTGAAAAGAAAATTGCCCCGCGGAAAAATGGAAGTTAACAAGAAAAAGAAGCCGTTCCACCGTCCAGAAAACAGAGTTCACGAACACCCCCAGAATGAAGAAGGGAGAAGGACGACGTATGTGAAGAGGACCAGGAGAAATGACGGCAACTATAACCCGGCTTTAAAACGGAAGATCTACTCATCCGACAGAACTCTCCGCAGCAAAAAGTCGCCGAACTGCGGAAGGGCCATCAGCGGCGGAGGAAAAAAGTACAAGAAAAATTTGAACGGCCAACAACGAGGTCCAAGCAGGATCACGACAGAAGTTTCCCGGTTCCGCCAAGACCAGGTGCCATCAAACGGCAAAGACCACAAGCAGAGGAGAAAAGGAAAGTATTCAAGGGTGGCCGTACTGGTGAAAAAAGGAAGCTTCCAGAGGAAAGTACTGAAGGGCGAGCCCGTACAAGAAGGAGGATAAACCAAGCTACTATCTGCAGTACCTTTAAAGACTGGGCCCAGAAAAGGATGTCCGAATATTACAAAGATAAGTAAAATTTTATGTTACTTTGCAAACTTAAGTTAATCTTTCATTCTTACTGCAAGTGGCAGATTTCAAGGAGTTTTACCTCATGCGAGGTCTACCTTTATCGCCAAAAGGGCGAGAAATGAGTTGTGACCGATTTTCGTATTATGTTTTTAAATTACTCGTGCGTAAAACTAAAGTTGATGTATAATAGCGTTGTGTAAAAACTTAAATATTGTAAAAAGTTATTGTATAAATTTTATTTAAAACATTCTAGCAAGAAAGAAGTTTTAGTCTGAAAGACTTTTTGAAATGTAGTATTATTTCAATGTAGAAAGAATTGGCACTTGCTTTGAAAAGAATAGAAGTTAACAATGTACTACTAATGTATGTTTTCAAATGTGTAAAATTAACGGCATGTTGATATGTTCTTATATACATGTGAACTGTTATTTTAAATGTTAAGAAATACCGTGATATGGTAAAAGTGAAAGTAATGTTAAAAATTTGTTATTCGTGTGACTGTAAAGATTAAAAATCATGGCGAAATGTGGTAAAGGTTGAATGATGTAGTTAGGCTCTCTGACGCTACACTTTAGAGTTAGCCACTTTTAGAATAGTACCTCAGGGTTTAGAGTTGAAAGTAGGGGTGTGTTAAGAGGTCTCGTTATGTTGAATTTTAACACGTTAGTGTTTTGATTGTAGGAGGAAGTGTGGCACACGTAGACAGAAACACATTCGTGTTTGGTGTTCTTTTACAACACATGTCAGAGAGCACGGGGAGAGATAATTAAAATAGTCATGAATGAAATAAGAATGTTAAGAGCAGTATAATTCTATATTTTACTTGCCATGTCATTGTGTAACATTTCATTAAACTAGTTTTCCTTCCAGATCTCTGGAAGGAACCAGAATTGAATAAAAGCTCCTGGTTAGATGCAGTACAGATGAAAAAAAGATTGTTGTATATCCTGGGAGCTGCTATTCTAACAAATTTCTTTCTTTTAAATTTCTAGTTTCTAGCTAAGTTATGGTTGTAAAAGGTTGGCCTCGCGTTAGATTCTAGAGCTAAAAGTTTTCAACAAGGTCGTTTTAGACCTCAGTTTCAAACTAATTAACTCTGGCGGGAAGTATGTAAGGATCTTAAGTTTTACTAACGTTTATTTTATTTTAAATCTTTACTATCACTTCTTATTTTCTACTTCCGGCCAGAATTATAAGCGTGAAGGTTTTTATGCAAAGTTTGTCTGGCGAACGCCAAGTATTTAAGTTGTGGCTTTTTGCCAAGCAAGAGAGAGAGGAAGCAGTAAGTCAACGCAGGCCGCTTACCTTAGAAGTTACGCAGTTGCTGTTCGCCTTCCAGGCCAGAGGTTTTAATCCTCTTGATAAATTAAACGTATTGTAGTGTTCACAGTCTCTGTGCTACATACGCTTCCTGTTATTATAAGGCCAATCTTCCACGTGTATTATTCTAAAGTTAAATTAGAGTTTAGTTTTATTTTTATACTTTTTTACGTTAGACCCCGAGTGGAGGGTCAGTGTATTCCGAAGTACGGAAGTTATTGTATGTAGAGAAAAATAAAGGGTTTTGTATACCCTTCGTCTGTATCCTGTCTACTTACCACAATTAGTGAACATAGCTTTAGTAAGCTCTCTGTTCCGAGTCAGGTCCTTGTATGTTCCCGAAGAAGGTTAGAAGGAACATTGATCCTGATAACCTCTGTAGACAGTGCATCCGAAGTAGAAGAATTTATCCCAAAGTCAACTGAAATTATGGCTGAAGCTAAGATGGATTTGAGATTATGGCAATTCGGTCCGGTAGAAGAAATAGAAAACTTTTTGTGAACTGAAGACAGAAGTTTGTTTAAAGAAGATCTTACAACTCCAGTTTCGGTTTTGGGGATTAAATGGGATAGAAATGAGGATTGTTTAATGATCTGCAATGAATTTGACGCTGAAACAGAAAATCCTACTAAACGGAAGATCTTGTGTATAACACAAGGTATTTACGATCCCATCGGTTTTCTCATCCCAGCATTGTTGCCAGCCAAGCTAATGATTCAGGAGCCCTGGTCAGCTAGCTAAGTCAGAATGGGATTCCCCGCTCCCAGAGAAGATCCAAAAGGACTTTCAGAAATGGTATAGTGAATTGAAATAATTATCTAACGTAAAGGTAAACAGACGTATAGGTTACGGAAATAAAAAAAAATGATCTATACATGTTTTTTTGCGACGCGAGTCAGAATGCATATGCAACAGTAATTTTCCTGCACTGTGAAGATAATAATAGGATTTCGGTACAGCTTCTGGGAGCAAAATCTCGACTTGCGCCAAAAAAACCTTTGACAATCCCGCGTCTAGAACTTCTTGCTTGTGTTTTGGGAGCAGATTAGCAAACTATATTCGTGAGGCTCTGGATGTCCCTGCAGTACCAGTTTATCACTGGACTGACTCTTCAACACTTATATCATGGATACGAAGAAATGACCAATGGGGTACTTTTGTGGGTAACAGAATCAGAGAAATATGCAAACTTACAGAGTCATACCAATGGTATCTCATCCCAGGTAATCTAAATCCAGCGGACCTGCCATCTCGTGGTTGTAATCCAAGACATCTTATCGAGACGAGATGGTGAGAGGGACCAAAATGGTTAAAAGACGAAGAAAATAGTTGGCCCAAATCGGAACAGGTTCCTAATAAAAATTTAGTTATGTAAGAAAAGAAAGAAAACTGCAATATCATTATTTACTGTGCAAAACTAGATCGATTGAGAAATACATTTCGAAAAGAATATTTGCAAATCTTGTTAAAAAATCAAGAGAAAAGGCTCAGGTGATCCAGACGGGTAATGTAGTATTGATTGAACTAGACAACCGAAAGAGACTTAACTGGCCAATAGGCAAAGTCACAAAATTGTTTCCAACTAGAGACGGTTATACACGTGTGGCAGAGGTAAAAACTTCTTCAGGAACTTTTCTACGACCGATTCGTAAACTTTGCATTTGGAGATATCTAAGAACGATGACCCAGTAATCCAGCTGATGAACTGTATGAACACTTTTGACAACTCAATTTTAGAACTTTAACTTTTTTTTTTGCTTGAAATTTTCATAGATATTAGTTTTATTTCATTCTATTATTTTTCAGTAATGATGTAAAATTAATTTTAATGTTTAATTTCTGGCTTCCACCATAAATTAAAGGTAGGAGTATGTTAAATGTTCATCTAAAGAGTTTTTCCCTCACTAGAGGGCGCGAGAGAGAGGCTGTACAGTTACCATAGCTACCGAAATTGAATGATTAGAAGGCTCATAAACTTAAGCGCTGCAGTGTGAAAGAAAAATTCTGGAGTAAACATGTTAAGAAAATGTATTGAAGTATTATTTTTTTCTTTTTTAATGTTTTCTTTATGTAAATAAAATTGTGATGTCAAGAAATAGAATGGTGGTTTTTTTTCTGTAAAAAAGATTGCCAGCTGAAACATCACGTTAGATTCAACTATGCATCAGAAAAGGTAAATGAATTTAGTTCTTGTTTTTTAAATCAGTTATATAAATAGAACCTGCATACGTCAGTGGATTCTGACAACTTGGATCAGCAGTAGTTGATTAATTACGTAATAGAGGGCAATACTAAGAAAACATATTTAAGATGACGCTATTATTATTAAAATGTTCAAATATTTGATTGGCAGTTTTTAGTACTCTGCTCTATTTTTTTACAACATTTACATGCTAACTGCTCGACGTCAGGCTAATCATACAAAAATCCTTATTTTTATATTCAACATATTAATCACTCAAATGCTTGCATGTAATACAAGAATAAGCTGATTAAGTTAAAATGCGAGTAAAGTGAATTCATTAAGACTTTAAATGAGTTTTAAAGCTTATTTTCGTGAAACCTTTTAGCCTGACTTATATAAAGGAATGCCATTTATAATTTTGTTAGCTATAAGATGTTTTTCCATTTGAAAAATAATTTTAGATGATTTATTATATTAACCAGTTAACTGTGATTGACGACTATACTCGTCATGGAGCGTTTTTGTGTATTGACGAGTATACTCGTCATGCGTATAATGAAATGGAAAGATAAGAGGGAGGTTTATTTAGTAAGTACTGTACATAATGACAACGTAATAGAAACAGAGAAAAGAAAAATAATAACAAAGAAACCGGAGCTAGTATTTGATTATAATAAAAAAATGGGTGGAGTGGATATGACCGATGGAATTACCTTAGCGTACTCCACAGCAAGAAAACGACTCATAAAGTACTACAAAAAGATATTACTCCATTTCTTAGACATTATGTGTCTGAATGCATTCATATTATATAAAAAATAATGGAAGATTATCGCGTATTAACATTTTGCTCAAATTTATTGAAGACACTTTTGCGACGGATCCAATTGAAAGAAATCGACACAAACTCGGCCATTTAACCTAATATAAGCCAATTAGGTGGGAATCATGTTCCGGATTATATACCCGGAACATTAAAAAAAAAAAAAAAAAAAAAAAAAAAAAAAAAAAAAAAAACTACGCGAAAGTGTTCGCTGTTCGCATTGCTACAAACGTAAGATCAGGAAGGAATCGCGTTACTGGTGTTCGATTTGCAAAGTCCCATTGTGTATAGTACCCTGTTTCGCTGAATATCACTCCACAGCGGGAATTTAAATGCTTACTTTTATATGTATAATATTTAATTTAATTTATTGCGTTTTTAGTTTAATATGTATGTAATATGCGCTTATGTTAACCAAATAAGTAAATATTAGTAATAAAAGTTTCAATTTTATAAAATAAACCCATCTTTTTCATGCAGTATCTTACCAGGGCAACTTGATTGACGAATATACTCGTCATGGCTCGATTCTGGCGACACAAAATGGTGCGCACTCTTAAACGAGGGCGCCACAGTTAACTGGTTAAATATCCACCTCATTAATTGACATTAAAACACACTGAATCTCAGTCTTACATAATTTTTGAAAAAAGTTTTATTTACATGTAATGCACCTAGTCGTGCTTCGCTAGATTATCATTTCCTTTAATATTTAGATGTCCAAAACATTAAAAAAAAACAGAAGATAACATTCAGAATAAAATTTATTAAACTGTTAAAAGACAGAAGCAGAACCTTTTCTACCCCTTACGTGCAGTTGCTTTTTTTTTTAACAACGCATTTATTCATTTGCGTACAGTGATTAAATTGATATTAATCAGATAAGTGGTGGAAAAGCGGCTAAACTGCTACGAGAATTTTTTAAGTCTACGCTTCAGTTTAAAATTAAAGAAATTTAGTGCAGAAAATATTAAGCTTGGCTTAAATGAAATACTCTAATATTACTGAGTTCCATTAACATATTTTGTTATTTTCAGCTAAAATATAAATATTAAAGATATTAAAAATTTCTGATTTGTTTTTCTAGTTCTTCTGAGATTAAATATCGTTATATACTTTCATGACTTTTGCATTTTAGTTTTGGATATTTAGAATTAAATTAAAATGAATGAAGTAAGAATGAAATATGAAATACCCTCCAAATATGAAGAAATAAACGATTAATAATAAAAAATATAAATTAAGAATAAAATTATAAATTAACAATGAAATTAATTTTAAATTAATAATAAAATTAGTTATAAAATTCATGCATATTTAGTTTACTGCCAGTACACCTGTTTTAAAATATTGAATTTTATACCTGAAGTTTAACAGTATGCGCTTTTCAATGAGACTTAATAAATTAATTTCCTGTTATTTTTTTATATACCCAGAATATTATTTATATGCAATTGATATAAATGGTTTCATTACCCAGTTTTTTTAAAGAAATATTATTTATTATTATTATATTAAGATGTCATTTATTTAACACCTCTGAATAGCTTACATTTTATAGAACCCTTGAATTAATTATAGGTTTACGGTAAGGGGGAATTTTTTGGTTTCCATATTATTTGATTATCTGTAAATTATCCTTACATTAAGGATAAAGGGAAGTTTAGTTTTGTGTTCAGTTAAGATATAATCCCTCATCAGTGTTTGGATTCATGAAAAGAATATGTAGATGAAAATTAACAACATCGCTACGTTTGAGGTCAGCCACTAAACAGTTATTCCTTTTTAACTAGTTGAAAATTTTAGCTAAGCTTCAATAAAGTATCTTCAAGTAATTAAAAATGTTATAGTCAAAAAGTGTTTTTTAAGAATACAATCAGCCTAAAATTATATACACCAGATATAACATTAAAAAACAATTAAAGGCAATAACATAAAGGAAACAAACAAATACACCCTTAGCAATGTTAATTATACTGTAACCTACCTTATTTTGCTCTTAAATGGTAGGAAATTTAGAATTTGAGGTTAGTCGATTAAAAATCAGTTTAAATTAGGCTCAACAAATACATTAAGCATTTAACACTTTTGATAACAGAGTGAGCAACGGAAATGCGTTGTTTAATACAAGTGTTCAGATTTGCTAAAAGTTCTCTTTAGTATCAGTTAATCTTCTTATTAAGTCATTATTCAAGCGAAGAAAATCAATTATTTAAAAGAAGGAATCAGTATAATCCTCGACTTAATATTTCGCTCTTTAATTGTCTTATTAAAACCTAAGGCTTTCATTTTAAAGCTGCAGTGAGGATCTAAAGAAAGCATCAATAAACAATGAAACAAAACAAAATTAGGAAATAAAAATAATAGCAAGTTCATATAGGATTTGAAATTTTAGGTATACGCTGTTACGTATATTTATTAGGCTGTTTCTTATAGGCTACCACTGTAATAAATGTAATCATAACATTGTTAAAAACAAATTATTTTCCATTTAAAGTTTACAAATTTCTTGAATGTATATAAAAGAAAATTCTGCCTTCTCCTCCAAAGAACGCATTTTTAGTTTGACTAAGCCTGTTTAGCGAATTTAAGGACCAAAGGTTCATGTGAAATTTTTTAAAGTAGGAAAAATGTTTATTCCTTTTCCAAATTATTCATCTAGTCATATTTATCTGGTGTTGCTATAGAAGTTTTTTCTAACTTCTTTTATAAATATTAATAAGTTTCAACTTCTTAGCTTATTCAATACTTACCACATTTTAGGCTTAGCAAAAGTGTTTTGCTGCTGAACAGATCGAATATATTTTTTTCATTTCAAAACTTCTGTTTCTCTAATGTTACAAATTTTAAAAACTAACGCTTCTTTTTTTATCTTTTTATTTTATACTTTTTTTAAAAAATTTTAATGATTACTTTTTATGTGTTGGATTATTTCTGTTTTTCGTGTTCTGTGGACTCGCTCCACATATACTGAAAATTATTATAATTTGACTTTGATGCTATAACTTAAACAAAAATTAACACCACTTCTACACTTTAGGAACTTACAGATGTTTTTACCTTTTCATATACTGGATTACTTGTATTTGCATCTTTTGCCTTTTGGACTCGAGGCCCACCAGCGGCTGAGCGGTAAAGTCGCTGAACACTGGTAGTTCGGTCCGAGGCTCGAATCCCGCGAACGGGCTGGCTGCATGGGGGTTTCGTGGTTTTCCCCATGTGTAACGTGTATACGAGCCAGTTTCCCTTAGAAAGTCCTCCACGAAGGCATCCCTCCCCTTAGGCAGATAGCCCTCGAGGCTTTGCCGTAATTAAATAACCTAACCTTTTGGACTCGGCTGCTCAAAACAATACTTTTATGCTTTTTAAAATTTGTTCATGTTTTTGATTTTATACACTTTGCAATTTTATACGCTTTTTTACGTATACGCAAAAACTTTGATTTTATACGCTTTGCAATTTTATACACGGATTACGTCTTCCTGCAGGGTTGGACTGATAAAGACGCAGATTCTTTTTCTTTTTTTAATTATACTAAGTTTTAAACTTTAATTTGTGTCTTTGTTGGTTAAGATTCCTCTATTTGCACTGCGTCATTTCGAGAAAAATCCACGTCATATGACTCTTTCATAATTCTGGGTATGTAAATGGAACTAAACTCAAGCAGCCGATAGTAGTTTTACAGAAATATTAACTATCCAATCAAAATGCATTGAAAACCAAAACTAACTCAGTCTGAATTAAGATTTCACCCTGAACATACAGCACTTGCTTCTTACGATTTGGCTTAGCTAGACTGCAGTCTATCTGCACCTGCTTTCTTACTGCACATTTGTAAGGATCCTAACGTTTATTTTATTTTAAAACTGTACTATCACTTCTTATTTTCTACTCCCGGACAGAATTAAATGCTTTAACTTGTTTATGCAAATCGTCTTGCTAATGCCCAAGTACTTAAGTTGTGGCTTTTTGCCAAGAGGGAGAGAGAAAGAGTTTTAGGAAGCAAGCCGCTTGCCATTGCAGTTTTACGAGTTTTCACTCGGTTGCTGGTTGCCTTTAAGGCCAGAGGTTTAGCCAGTCTTAGTGCGAGGCATTTGTATACTAATTCAAAGTTAGCTTTTAGTTAGAGTTTTAGTTAGTACTTTTATATTCTTATGTTCAGACC